ATATAATATAATATATACATTATAATGCAATATAATAGGAATATAGTGTGGTGCAGTGCAGTGCAATGCAAATATGTGCACTGAGGGGTGGCGTAACGATACCTACTACTGATGACGGGAATAATGTCTAATCGATTGGGAAGGGGCAGTCCTTGCTGATCGGAAGCTCATTGAGGAAATCACGGAATCGCTTTGCAGAGTTTTGTCTGTTGTTACATAATATTCAAAAAGTACACGAGGGTATTTGAGAAAGTGAACTCATCTGAAACTCTGCACAACCGAGTTTAATAGATTTTAACCGCTTTGTTCGGGATTTCAGCAACCTAATTAGTAGTTTGTTACGGCAGTGCAATTTATTGCGATAGCTTGAATAGCCCACCAAATGAATCATGAAGCGGCCTGGTGCAGTTGAGGAGGGACATCAGCTGGAATTCAGGTGAGGCTCCCGTGAAAACCAAATTGATGTGCAAATAAGTGTATTTGTTGGGTAATATTTGTCATGAAAAATTGATTTTAATTAGCATCATGTAATACAAAATACACTTCGAAATCCGAAGCGGTCAGATGAGTTTGGAATCGAAAGTGGCGACATTTTAACAGATAAAGCTTTTCGAAAACTCATTGGTTAGTGAACTTTTTCTGCGGCAATCATCGACTATCCGTGAAATTTCTTTGAAAGGATAACATTAGTGTCTTTATGATTGCTGGAGCTTTCGTTCTTTGCCGCCAGCAGTGATGCACCGCCGATGTTCATGCGTTCGCGGTCCTACGTGGCCGGAATTTCTTGACTGATAGGCCAGTCGACCGACGGATATTAGATGCCCACAAAATACACTGTTACAAACCCATCAGTTTCCGATGTAGCCTAGAATGGATCCCAACTGAATCTCTCGCTTATGCTATACCTCAACTCCACAAAGACCGCTTCTTGTTTCATTTGGGATGATATTCAAGAGATCGTAACATATTTTCCTGACGGAAGCTCTCAAAGACTTTTTAGCAGACTTCAAGGAACTATGGGCAGTTCAGATAGTTAGGTAGATCAAACGGGTCACTCAGTGTGTCTGCTTTCTTTGTCTGCTCGGAAACTTGAGTGAGCCCTAGATACACGCTTGCTTCATATGGCTACCGTTCGGGGTTCAACCTACTGCAACTAGCCGATTTAAACTAATGGGGGGGACTCATGCCCAGTGCTTCCAGAGCCTAACGTGCACAAATCGTATCTGAACAGTAGTCAGATCAATCAATGAAAACTACTGAAAGATTACTCAGATTCAAACTGATGTCCAAAGGAGTGTATTTCGCTTGGTTCATGGAAAAAGAAACACCGTGTAGATTGCATTTCATGGGGTGGGGGGGGGGAGATGGCCCAAAAGGTTAGAGCGCGAATTTATTGACCTCTCCCTCTCGACTTTCCCTGTCTAGGCTTGGGCAACCTGGCAGTATCCCAGCCCTCGTGCTTCCTTCGGGTAGCATGGCAGCTAGGCACTGGAAGTTTTCCACAGCTGAAACGTTTCTTTTGATCCACAGCTGAGACGTTTCTTTTGATCATTTCATGGCTAACTATATTTCACAAATCCGTCGCTAAGCCCACACAACCGTTGGTTGAAGAATGCTGCTATTGACAAATCAAACTAGTTTCTGACCACCGGTTTGTTTAATCAGCTGGGTTGCAAACTTTTCATGACCGGCAGTGTTGATATCATCAGTGCATTGTGAACAGAATACGTTGGGCGAAATACACTCATCTGTATACCAAGTTGGTTTTGACGGGAGACTCACCTGGAACACAAGTGAATCTCTCTTTTGTGATGCTTTTAAGTAACTTAATATGCTGCACCAGGCCGTCCCATGTTTCAGTCGGTACGATATGCGAGATAACGTGATACACGTATAGACGTACTATACTACTCATAAGGATGCTGAAAACTCTTCGACAGCCCACGACCGGTTACGCCCTTTTTGGGGCTCATCAGGTAGACGCAGTCTCCGAGTTTCCGTCAACTTTATGTCTCACTTGAACATATATTACCCAAAACTAGCGAAATGCACTCATTTGCGTAGCTATTTGGTTCGGACGAGAGACTCACCTGGAACCCAGCTGGACCATTTACTAGCCTTTAACCGCATTCTTTTTGTGGCCTTTATCCACTCTTATTTACGCAGATCGCACCCGGATGGCCCCATTTCCTGAAATTCTGACACGTATTAGAAACGTCTCTGACACGTAGCTGTGTTGTTTTATTGGTATTACGCATTAGCAGGATGATCACAGAAAGATCTGATCTTCAGTTAGTCTGATCCTGTTGCACTAAATCTAGCAAATTGCTTCACAGTCAGGTTACAAAAAAACGTGTTTTCTTATGTCCTATAACTCCGAGACTTCAGATAAATGGACACTGCAATTTTGATCGTTCAAAAAACTTAAAATGTTCATGAGTGGTGTATTACGTTTATATATGTTTCGCGAGATCTCGAATATCGCACCAACTGAAACATGAGGTGGCCTAGGGCAACATATTCCGTTAGTTGAAAACATCATAGACGAGAGATTCAGCTGGGTTCCAGGTGAACCCAGGTAAACCTTCCGGTCAGTAAATTCTCGCTCTAACCACCTCGGGATGAGCGTAACATGTTTCGAAAACACATGTACGTACCCATACGGCACCGTTTGGATCGGTTCTGAAGTTTCCTCATACAGGACATGATATACCTGCATGAACTGACATGCTTAGACTGAGGGCATCTGGCGGCTCAGGCAGCAGCAGTGATATCCGTTGATTTGTTCGCTGCGATTGACAAAGTAATAGCCGTTGATTTGTTCGCTGCGATTGACAAATTGGTTGCAAGCGTTTCATCCTCTGCGAGAGGATATATTCAGGGCGTTGTGAGTGGAACTGAGCAGATGGTGAATGAGCTTTCTTCTTGAGGTTCGATATGTAGATGGCCTTGTAAATTCAAATCCGTGATCAACCCACTTCGAGGTTTGTTGCTTTCCTTCTACTGAGAACATTATCTACTGGTTCGTTGGTCTGAAAACCGGGGTCGACTCAATGCCCCCCCCCAGAGACTGAGCAGTCTTTTACTCAGTGGGGGCGAAGACACTAGCGATTGAACAATGTAGAATGACTGGATCTGGACTGGCATGTTTCTCAGTTTCCACTTTACAAGATCACATTTTCTGAACCAAACTGGATGGCCTGCTGACCAATATTTGACGCCTGGCAACTCGGTAAGATTCTTCGGATGACTTGAACATCCAGCCCAAGTCATCCGATGAAAGAAGCGAATGAGCCAACACGTTAGTAACTACATATGTGTGTAAAACCTTTTGACTTGTAATGTCTAGTCCAGGCAGACGGTAAAACGACCAGAGGGTGTGCAGATCATTCTGGTCACCAAGTCGAACCGGTGGAGTTGTTTGTTCTGATCTACCGAGTACCAGACCACCAGGTTCACTCTAATCAAAGTCGGTTTCTTCCTCACTTCGGAACATGTGCGGTTTTTGGCGAAAGTCCACACAGCTATCCTGTCACTATTTTACGTATTTTTGAAACATTTTATGCGACAAATTGATAAAAGGATTCGGAAGTTAAACTATTCTAGATATTGAGCTGAAATAAGAGTTCATTGCTTCCCTCGTTTGATGTGAGCTCACGAGAATAATTGCTCCAGGACTGGTGGGGGGGTTGTTCAAACAGAAGCGACGGGATTCCCCGCAATGCAGTGTTCAACAGGCCTAACGGAACATTTTGCAACATAATTTAATAGATTTATTTATTCTTGCATCTCCTCACCTAATGTCGAAGGAAACGGTAAGGTACTCATGTGAATCGCGGTCCAGAGCATAAAAGGAGAATGTAACTTTACGGGAGAAACACTGTACAGTGTACTAGTTCGTCTTTATCATCCTTCTATTGGGATAATGTAATGTAGAGTTTGACTCGTTATTTCTACACAATTTGGGGCTTCAATTTTAAACAAAGACCTTCAGGAACGTAATTTAAGATCTAAATAGGAGAAGGCTTAGCAGCTGAATAACCTGTAGTTTTAAGCTTTCTGACACCGAATTGCACGAACTTCGGCAAATACATTCATTTGCATGCCAGTTGCTCGAAGATCGTACCAACTGAAACATGTGGCGACCTTGTTGCGACACATTTAGAACATCAAAAGCGATAGATTTAGTTCAAATTCAGGTCAGCCCCCTTTGAAAACCAAATTAGTATGAAAATGAGTGCATTTGTCGTACCTTGTACTGTGTTTGTAGTAGTGTAGACATGTCTCTCATGCGTTTTAGCTGAATGGAGGCACTTCAGGTTAACTAAAATGTGTGAAACAGGTTCGAGTAAACAATAGGTCCCAACTTACAAAATCGAAAAATAGCAGTGACGCTCAACAATGTTAAAAATGGCAACCTCGACTATCCGGATAGCTTGATGTTTTGCTGATCTAGTGTGCACGATTCAGGGTATTCTAAGTCTCCCTTATGGTGTAAACCACCATTTTACTAGTACATAGCCATCATGAATTAAAACCGAATGGGAAAGTAACGGTTAGATTTTACATCGATTCACCTCAAACTCACCTCATTCCGTCCTTCTGTAAAGAGTAAGTAGGTATGGAGACGGTTCTGTTTTGAATCATAATATTCAATCAATGGGATGATCATTTCCTGCTAAAATATTTTCTCACAAGGCTGCCTCAAAATCCGCGCATCCTCCTGCTTAAAAGCATTTCGAACGCAAAGCTCGTCGTGGATGAGCTGAAGGAAAGATAATGGGGATCTGGTGAAAATGGGGCGCAATTTTTTTATTTTAAAAATCCGCAAGACCACAAACTTTGAATCAGGAATAACAGAAGACGCAAGGCTGTTTAAACTCACAAAAGATTTCCGTACAAGCCAGAAATTGGACAAGTTCCTCAAGAGCAAGCCTAACTCACGAAGCCAGTTGCTCAAACAGTCGCGTTTCTCAGTTTGCTATAGAGGAAAATGTTGGTAGCTCAGGTGGCGTAGATGGCCGTTGGTTTGTTCGCTGAGCTGGTTAAGCGGAACGATGCGAGTATTTCGACGACCTGTTACTGTAAATACCAATCCTCTGCTAGTCCCGACGACATGTGATCCAGACAGGTCACAAGGCCAACATCTCTTTCAGGACAGTGGCACGTGATATGAGATCAATAAAGAAAATCATCACAAAAGTAGCGCTGATTAAGTGTGTAATCAAACAGGTTCATCGAAAAGACACTGAACACGCATGTCCTTCAACTAGAACAGTTTTTGGAGAACATCCTTATCATAGGAACCATGAGAAAAAATGAATGCGTTTATAGTAGCGGTCTAAAATATATTGTATCAAAGGAATCTTGAACGCCAGTCCGCCAGATCAAGTCCGTCAAAATGACTGCAGCTGGGTTAATGAATAATTTACTGTCCCCGCGAGATATACATTTGCAGAAACGGTTTTGTCGACTAATCCAATACCTGTGACTTTCATTGAGCACTTAAACAGATGAGTCACTAGCCGCCTTAATTTTGAAATGACAGCATAAACACTCCGTCAGGTGCTACCGTCGCCCATTTCCTGAAAACAAACCATTTTGTGAACTTTGAAATTCCTCTTGAAATTGCCCTCAATGTTCCAGTGAACCAGCCAAAGGTTGATTAATACCAACAGCGAAATGGCCCGTGGTTAGACAACGCAATCCGACATCAAAAGCGGCAGGATTACTTGCTCCATTCGACTTGTTCCAAAGTTCTTCGATCTTAAAACTCGGCTGAGTAGTTAGTGGCATCGGCTAATTTAAGTAAGTCAACTGTGTGATCGATTAATCGATCCAGAGATCTTTCAGCGTATCCTGTACGCTGTACCTCTTAGAGTCTATCCCTGAATTTGAGTGTTCTCTTATCGTTTGCGGTTGTACTGAAAAGAAGCAACCATTCGCGTCTGTGATATTAACGAAGCTTTAATTCATCAACCGGATAGTTGTAGGCAGACCCAGACTCAACCAACTTTAAAATTCAAAGTCCATTACAGAATCGACCAGTAAGTTGCGATGTCCAAAGGCTGGACTACTGATAGGTCTGAGTTCCGCCTAACAAGACAAACGAATCAATTTTTTCTGCGCCGATGACGAAACGGTTGTTCGGTCACACTAGGCAGAATCGTTTGTGTGTGCCAAAATTGTCATCTGTGACGTAATTTAAAAAGACCCTCAAGTGTTGTTCCATTTGTGTGTAGACTTTTGCCAACCGATTGCCGGTGGAACCGTATCCTCTTGTTTAAACTTGTGACGTCATTCTGACCTGGAGATGCGGTTTCCAAAACCCAGTACTTGGCTTCATAACCGTGGTGCTCGTGTCAGTTCAACTTTAAGAAACACGTGAACGCGAGAATAATGCTCACGAAGTACGATCCATTAGTCATGCATTCTTTATTCCGCAACAGCCGGATTGGGTCAACCGTATCGAACTTTACTGAGATTCTGTAATGCAGATTCCGTCCTTCGAATGAAGTCAATCTATGCCTATAAGCCGAAGATCACTATACAGCTATCTCATCCGCACTGCGAATCACCGGTCGTGCACATCTCACGGAATTCCAGGAGGTAGTCTCGAACCCGAGATTTCCCGGCTAGCAGTTTGAACACTTAACAGTTCGGCCACAAGCGGTTGATCAGCAGCGTGATTGGTTCCTACTTAGAATATAGTGCCAATCATCCTTCAGTCACGTGGTCACACGTGGTCAGTTATACTGGAAACTGCGCACGCCACAGTCATAGATGGGTCAATAGGTAGAGGTCTGGCTAACACAGTCTCCTGGTCTCCTACGTTGGACCTCGGAATATGTGTGAAGAATGGCTATTTAACTATGTGATATACTGGAATTTTCCGCAATGGACTGCACTCTTGCGGTCAGGTGTTGACTGAGGACCCTACTCATTCTCCTGTTTAGGCCTGAGGGTTCTGGTGGCATCCCAGTCTACGAGATGGCTCAAGTGGTTAGCTCGCGAATTTACTGACCGGAAGGTCCGTGGTTCGAACCCGACCTCTACCTCTCGACTTCTCCTGTTTAGGCTTGGTCACTCAGGCAGTATCCCAGTCCTCGTGCAACCTTCGGCTTGCATGGCAGCTAGGCACCGAAAAGGTGTTACAGCGGAGCAGTCCACGTACAACCAAATTGCAGCAACACCGAATCGTCAGTGCTGAACACTGATGTTGTGCTGGCGACGACTGTGATGAAAGCGTGACTTGATATTTTCGCCAGTTCGACTCAGCGCTAGTGTCACCGTGTTTGGGCAATAGGATGACACACAACCTCAATGTGCAACGATATCGAGTCGCAACTAGGATTCCCAGTTCATCCAAGGACACTTTCGGCACCACAAAAGTCATACGATTAAGGTTGTAGATAAAACTGAACCAGACACCCTGTGAGGAGAGACCCAATTGAATCCAGCTAGATCTGTTGTTTGTCAAGCCCAATATTCAGTACAAGGCGTTTTAGCTTCTACTCACAAAGTTGCTGGAAACCAAATTCGTGTGCAGGTGGGAGTGGTTGGCTAATTTCACCCAAGTAGATGGAAACTTAGGGACTAAGCCTATCTGATGAGCCCAAATAGAAGGGCCTTGGGCTGTCGAAGAGATTTCTACAACCTTGTGAGTAGTGTGTCAAAACAGAGTTCGTTAGCAAATGAGAGTACTTGTTGAGGCCTAGAGCAGTTCGAAAAATCTCGTGTGGCGGGTCATAGCAGAGTCTTTCGGATGACTGTATTTCCAACCCAGTTGTATCTTTAGGCCAAAGCGGTCGATCTCTAGGGTAAAAAACACCGAAGATCCAGATGGGCTGTTGGAACGAAAAAAGACTACCCTCCAGGGAGCGGCCACTTTCACGAGGAGTGGGTGTTCAACCAGGGACAGTCATAGGTTTTTCTTTAACAATTAACACCCGGTGATCATGATAGAATTCGACCGCGGCTTCTTGGTCGAAGGAGCTAGTTTGAAATTGCAGCTTAGTCTAATCGATGGACTGCGGAATTAGCTACACTTCTAGGTATCCATTCAAACAAGAGTGGTGGTGAAGCATCAGTGCCAACAGTGATGTTGCTGTCTTTGATGGTGATGGTGATGATGATGATGATGGTGATGGTGATGGTGATCGTGGATGATGATGATGATGATGATGATGATGATGATGATGATGATGATGATGATGATGATGATGATGATGATGATGATGATGATGATGATGATGGTACGTACGAATAACACCAGGGTTCGAGCATGTTTAGACCATGGAGTCACATTTGTACGACTCAGTAGGACTCAGTACGTTAAACAATGCAATCAGTGTAAAAGTACACTTCTATGTACCGAACACGCAGAATACACTCTAACTTATCGGTGCGTACTGGACTGGTAGAAAACAAGTTTGGAATAATTAAAAATTGCCTGTCCAGCTGACAACTCGAAGCGTCAACTTGGTTAGTGTTGTTCTGAATTTTATTTGAACACAGGTAAACCAAGTATTCCGTGCTTCCTTTCAACATGTTCACTCTAGTAAACTGACCGCTTGGTGGATTGAATCATACCTGAGGACCATACAAATCAGTGTGTTGTAACAGTCGAAAAGGACAAGACGAGGCGCTCCTTGAAATTCTATTAGGATTGAAATTCTATAGCTTTTTTCAAAAACATTCAGTTAATTCTTCAGAAAATTTCATTCTTTAAGTACTTGCTTGGAGATGAACTTAGTGATGACGGGACGAGGATTACGGCTAATGACAGAGGCGGTGGAAACCTTCAGTCATCCTAACGTGAACAGAATAAAGGGGTCGAGCTGACGAGTGTATGGACGGTGGTTTTAGATAAGCCGAGTTGACGTGTGTCAGTGTGCTGGAGTCAGTCGAGTGGAATCATCAGTCCAACACACGATCGGAACACACGTGACACCTCCCCCCATCAGCCAAATCTCATTGGGTTGCCTACCCAGAAAGATCAACGTTGAACGACACTCGGGAGGAATTCCCACAAGAGCGGAAACTGAAAAGCCCAACCCTAGGCTCAGCTCAGATTGACGCCAGTTTCTCGCTTAGTCGGTCGGCTTTAACACTCGCTAAGCCACAGTAACAAACAGAATCTCTCAGCCAGCACCTAACGGTGACTGCATTTATCAGTAGAAAGAGATCTAGATGTTCGAGTAATACACTCATTTGCAAATCAATTTGGTTTTCACGGGGGACTTAACTGATGTTTTCCAGCTGGATGTGCCGCACACACTTCGCCTCGTGTTTCAGTTGGTACGAATTTGAGATATCTCAGTTTATTTCGTTGAAGGAAACGTTGCTTATAGATGGTCAAGACGTTGAATGACTAGGATAGTCGTGACTGCCGGACGGATATAGGACAATTACCGATTGACTACTCACACATCACGGACACGCACCTACCAACTACAGAAGGGCTTTGAATTGATGCTAGCTACGTGTGAAAAGAGGAAGGCCCTCCCCCGCGGAGTTGTTTATCAGAAAACACCAACTAAACAGTTACAGACTAGTGGACAGGAGAAAGCACCTTGGTTTTAAAAACTGAATGTCCGTATTCTTCTTGAACTTTCTTGGATATTCATTGACTACCACACAACTGTAAACGAATGCTACAAAACAAATTTCCTCAGAGAAACCACATACTACTTGCATGCCCCATCAGTAGTATCCACCGTTACATGTATGGCCCATTTGTTATGGTGTGGCAAATATGAGTCCTTTGGAATACAGTAACTACCTTTCTGTGGTACTGTGGTACTTTCTTACGGTCACAAGATACATGAAATCGGATGTAACTATCAACTGTGGACATTTCATGCTGATTCTGAACGACATGTTGGAGAGTTTTCCTAAAGGAAACTACTCACAAGGTTGCTGAAAACTCTTCGACAGCCCACTACCGGTTTCGCCCTTCTTGGGACTCATCAGCTAGGCGCAGTCCCCGAGTTTCCGTCAACCTTATGTTCTACTTGAACCCAAATTGGACGGTTTTCGAGAAATACACTCATTTGCAAATCAATTTGGTTTTCACGGGTGACTCGCCTGAATCTCGCGTTTATGATATTCTACAACTGAATGTGCTGCGCACAGACCGTCTCGTGTCTCAGTTGGCACGATGTTGGAGAGTTTGTGCACTTGGCTCGGTTTTAAACATCATCGTGCAAACAGAACGAGGGTAAGAAAAAAAGAGGGAAAGAAGTACCTCACATTCATGTGGGACGCGGGTATCGATACAAGTGCACGGAGAGAATAGACCTCAAATCATGAAGCCATGCATTGTGCATGCGAACACAGATAGCATGTTGGTCAACTCAGGTTTGCAACGAGTGAACAATAGGAAACCGGCAGAGGTATGTCATTCTGTCCTGAACTTTTACTAAACTTCCAGTGCGCTCCAGATTTAGAATACTGCGATGCTGAGGGACAGTATACTGAGTATCTTAGAGTGATTCCTCTGCCGAACCGTGGAATCGAGATGACTTTATGGTTCGAATGAACCACGTGGGATGGTGTTGCCTGGTGGAATCCCGTCTCCATTGAACTTTAGGTGAAATTACATCTGTAAGATGAGTGGACGAAGCCATGGGGAGAGTTCATGTATTGTCACAAGGCCATGTTCTTTTTGATGCTGTTTTATTATTCTGAATTACCCTTCGTGTAGCCGATCCTTTCGAAATCTCAAACGGATCTATGCTGTATCAGCCCTAAACAAAAACAACAGCATCAGTGTGGACACTGACGCTCCCCTGCCCCTATGGAGTCCTGGTGTGAAGTACTCAAACGAACACCTATGCGGTAAAGTGGTATATCCCTAAACCTCGAGAGACATGTGTATCAGACTACCATTCGGGCTGTTTTGTTATATGGCTTGAGACATGATTTATTCGGGCAGTGGAACTTAGAGGTCTCCAATTCTTCGGCAACCGTTGCTTGAGAATCGTGGTTTATGTAACGAATCCCCAACGAGACTATTAGAAAGTGAGTGCTGGTTGTGCAACGGGAAATTCAATCGAAGAACGTGTGCAGCACCAAAATCTGCGATGGTTAGACCATGTATTGCGCATACCTAGCCATCGTTTGCCCGCAGACAGCACTGCTTTCCGTGCCCATTAAAGTGGCGGAAACAGACAGATGGTCAACCCTTGACCTGAAAGAGATTACGAAAAGTCTGAGTGCTGTCAATGCGACTCACCTTCCAGAATGGGACCGCATGATCTCCGCCCTGACTGTCTGGAGACACCGAAGATGTGGGTGCTAGTCGATGTCAGTGGCTTCAATGTTGGCAGTTTCTATCCAGATTGCATGAGAGAGAGTGTCTGGAGCTGTAATCATCTTGGAATAATTGTGTTAGGCCATCACAAAGTCCTTTTCTCATCCATTTTTATTCTTTTCTTCACAATAAGTAGTTCGACCAAAATGTGCTTGTAAGGCAGCGAAACCCCAGCGCTGAACATTGATTTTATGCTGCCAATATTGTTGTTGTTACTGATGATGATGATGATGATGACGCTGACGACGATGATAATGATGATGATGGTGATGACGGTGATGATGATGATGATGATGATCAGAATGATGGAAAATCCTCATCCGTTGATATCAATTATAATAGTGTTTCGATAAGTAGACAAAGGTTTTTGAAAAATGTCCAAAATGCCACCCACCTGGTGTTGGTTTGTTTATTTTGATCACCACTGAGTTCCTTCAATTCCTTTCCCACGGAGAGAGTTTTGTTCCCTAGGAGAGCATGCATAAGGTCCCATAACTGATACAAGACGCCGCGGGGCCTGGGGATGATGGCTGGTACAGTCTTTCTGATTAATTCTTAGAATATGCCAGATAAATGTGAGCTTAGTCTCTCGGCGAAACCTCATTCGTTTCACTGGTAATCCAGCCAAATGCCCTATGTCCTCCACATACCGAGTCATGA